TTTTGGAAAGTCAATTACAGCTGCGACTATACATTTCATACGCATATCACGATAATCTGATCTAAGAAGAAAACTTATTTCCATAAAATGATATCAAGTTCCTTGGTGTGTCTTTCAACGCGGAGGAATTCTATCCGTGCTGGGAAGCTGCGATGCAACTAAATGGATCGTGTAAACACGATTCAACTCGGTGTAGGTAATTCCTTGGAAAATCCATAGGGTACGGGGGGTTAAACGTTAAAGCGATCCACGGTGCGAGTTTCAGCTTCTGTGTGCGCGCATACTAAGTGCAGACCCTTCCGTCGCGTCGCCCCCGCTCTGTGTGACGGAATTGCGGTGGCCCAATTATCTTGTCGGCTATGAATTACGTACAGGCCTGTGCCTGTACGCTCCGGCATCCTTGGTGGAACTTTACGTATATTTCGCTTTAATTTCGCCCCGGCGTCTAGCCGTTGTGTTTACTGCCTCTTGGAGAAAAAGCATGATGTGGGACGAAGCTCGCGACGCTCTAGAATGTTGTTCACGAAGAATTTTCGCATGTGAACGGATGCGACGAATGAGTAGAAAGTTTTCTCAAGATCAGCTTTTGCTCTCTTAAAAAAAGAGCTACCGAGGAGCTAGAGGAGTGATACTGAAAGTTAGCGGTTCGTGAAATCTTGGCGCGGTTAATACTTATCATAAAGTACGGCGTTTTAAAAAGGTTGTTTCACCAAAGTATTACAGTCCGATATCGAGGAAATTTCTTTTTTAATTATAAGTTACGAAAATACTGGCCAGTAGATCCATTTGAAAAGTGATGAATAATAGGAAAAATGTGACGCGAAACCTGGAAAGTAGGCAGATGCAATAACGCATTTATCAATGGTTCAGGTTGGTATCCGAGAAAGTTGGTCTAACTGCAACTGAGTCATTATGAGAGCATAACTATTGTCCTTTGCGGTTAATCTCTTTATCAGCACGTGGCTGGCAGTCGGCCAATCGACTACCACCCTCAACTACCGAGACGATCTACGACTCTCTCGCCTTGTTTTGATTTTACTCGTCTCCACTTTAGAAATTCCATCCACTTGCCGAATCGATCGTAAACAGTATCTATTTATCTTGAAAGAGTAACCATAAAATCTATATCCGAATAAGCTTTTTCAGTTTGACTTGGTCAGTGTTTTTGAATAACTAAAGAGCATCTCTTTTTATGATCTCCTATCAAAGTAAATCTATATAGAAATTTGAAATTGTTATTAATTTTAACAATTTAAAAATATTTAAAGATTTCTTTTATTTGGAAGGGTCCATTTATTAATAATAGAGATTTCAATCAAATTGTTAACAGCACTTTCAGTTGGGAGTTTAGTCAAATTCTGATTTTGATTTATGTAGAGAAGCTCTCACGCTGTTCCATACCAATTGAATAGAATTCCTAGTGAATGTAAAACGGCGGCAAAAAGGAGCAATACAGCAATCGGACTGGCATTCGCCAGGGCCGGAAACGAAAACGTATCCGACGTGTTCTACACGCGACGTTCTTGCGCGTTTCGCGAGAATTTATCAAAAGCGCATGGGCGTTGACGTATGATGATATTCTTTTTCGGCCACTCGGGTCCGATCCATTGAGCGTGAAACCACGTGGTTGGCGTGCCGCCAGTCTCGGAGTTATGTTTATAACAACGTATTACGGATTCTACGTGGGATTCGCCGCGATTCGTAACGATGATACTATGTGATGCTTATACGAGTACGCGACTGCATGCCGCGTCGCGTCGAAAATCTTGGACCGCGTTCCCGCAAATTCTGTGTTGCAGCTTCCTTCTTTTTTCTTCCGCGGGAAGGTTTTGCTTGGCTTCTCGCCCGATCCAACTCCTATATCCTCCGCCTTCCTCGTTTCTCGAGAATATTTGGGAACGTTTTACGGTACTGGTTGCTGATGTACACGTTATAGGCCCTGTATCCAAGGTCTATGCAAGAAACCGCCTAATGTCTAACAGATTTTAAGTGACTTTGAGGCAACGGTTGCTAATCGTTCATCCTGGAAAGGATGAAATCGATCCTCCCTTTTTCACGGTATAACCCGTCGCCGAATCTGTGAAATGCGCTTAAAATTCATTCGAGTTGAAGCGTTAATCGTATTAAAAGTTCCTCTTAATTCTCTTACTGTCTCACCTCTCGAATACTTGGCACGGGCTGTGCCGATTCTCGACGCATCGACGTAGGTAGGCTAGGTTTGAACCGAAAAGTTTGAGAATTATTATCGAACTCGTCGACCGGATGGAAATTAGAGCCGATTCTTCTTTAGTGACATCGATTGTCGAAAAATTGGCGCTGCTCGGTCGCGATGAAATTTAATTAACACGGTTCCGTTACGACGCTTTAAAAATAGACCGGTGAAACAGCCGATGTTGGGAAATTCGAATTGAAATTTAAACGACATCTACTGAACTCGCCTTTTGATGCAAAAGAACGGCTAATTGGCCCGACACCGACGACGAACAATGAATGTTAATTTCTAACGAACGTACGTCATTGGATTACACAGTCCTTTTCACAGACCTTTCGACGATCTCTTCGCGTCGATTTGTTTTTCCTAACTCTGTGTGCGTCGTATTGATGCACGATGCATTGAATTCTGGTTTAAGGGGCAAAAATTTTAAAATTATTTTCACCTTTCAATAAGTTATTTATAAATATATTAATCAGTTTTATTCTCACCGTTTTTTTTATAAGTATATAAAGTAGGTAATGAAATTATAAAATTAAAAGAATATCGAGCAGATTATTTCTAATATTCTCGATATTCATCAGTCTCTCAAAATGTAGTTTAACCCAAACCCCAAAAAAGTAAAACCCTCAGCTTCTTCTTCGATTTTTTATTTTTAGTAGATGTTTTATTAAAAAAAATTTTATCAATACTTCATTTTGTATGAATAAAGGTATCGGATATGCAGTTTGCCATAAGACTGAATATAATACATGCAAAAACGAAATTTTTAATAACTTTTTCTCAGGCATCCCGTTAGAAAGTTTTACGTGTAATCTGACTATTAATCGATTGTCGATAGAACTCCTACAGAAGTTGATTTTCTAATTTTTTGCACATGACGACAGCGCGTTGTGCGTCGGATCGATCGAATTATTTCCAGTTAAAGGCCGATTACATAATCGTAGAATTTTATTCCGTTATGATTAAACGCTGCTTCCGTTGAGTGTATGCCGTCAACCGAGGTCGTAAATTGCGGAAACGAAATTACTTTCGTAAGGCTATTGCTGGTGCCGTTGGCGATATCATTCGTTACGGGAAATTTGCATACACTCGGAATATAATACTTCTTCGATTTTCCTCACCGTTATCAGCTATCCGACCTAACAATCGCATCCGATTATACCTTAATTTATCGCCACCATTATCTCGAAAAATTTCGCATAGTCGAATAAATTTGTACAGAATGTACTATTATAGAATAGATAATAATACGCGTGTCCCGAATTGGAAAATTCAATTCACATCTTTTCTCATCCCTTATACTGAATGTCGTTATTAAATTTTATCTAACAATAAAAGGTTTTGAACAATCAGACTATATATTTTATATTAATGAAAGGGCTTCAAGAACAATTANGAGAGAATGTTTTGGCTTAATTTTGCAGATCGGTTCCACCCCTTAAACTTGAGTTACCGCGGCAAAGAAGAAATACGTATTTAATATTTTTAACTGTTCTTGAAGCCGAGTTACTTATGGGGCACGAAATCTCTCACGACGGTAGTGGGGATTTCGTGCCCCATTACTGTTGAAGCCTGCCAAATTACATTAAAGTCGGAGTCGACCATTAAAAACTTTTCCTTGTAAGTGTTTACAGTAGTTTCTGATATAACATACATATAACATATACATCACGTACATACATCCTGGTTCACTTTCTTAACAAGTTAGTAAACAAAATTCCACTGTAGATGCATTATCGTATATCATTTCTGTCACAAGTAACGTGCATTCAGTTTTATTGGAAACATTTACATATATCTCTTGCGCGCATGTTTCTAATTTCTCTTAAATCACGCCCTAGCTGCGTTATTCCCTGATAATCGATTGGCGCGATATTTCGCACACACGCTTTAAGGGTTTATCTGGGATTTCCGAACGCCTACCGCCCCTAAAGTGTCTCGCTCGCACTATTTCCGTCGCATTCGGTGCTGTCGTAAAAAGACGCGTGGACGTGTATTAATAGATTGCCCGAGTACGCATCCCCGGTGACATCGCGTACCATCGAAATTCAGCCAAAACCGCAACGCGAATTTCTCTTATGCAACCGATCTGAACCAATAGCGATGGGGGACGATCGGGCGATGGAGGATGGAGCGCCTCACAGATATGCGGAAGGCTACCGGCTTCAGCGCGCGTGGGGACGCGATTGAATCTCAGATTTTGACGAAATCTTGTTTCCATGCAAAACGTGTCGGGTCTACTGCATTTTTTGGCTCGCCCAGTTTTATACATATATTGCATTTGTTACGTGGAGTGGTTACGAGTGCTTAAATTCTCGTATAACTAGTAGTCGAACCACGAAGAAGGCGGCTAGACATGGTAGAAAAGAGATGATCAAATTTGCTCTTTATCTGAATTATTCCTTCCTGAATTCTAATATTTCATGCAAAAGAGTAATGGATAACAGATGAAATATTCCTTGAAATACTTTGAAACAATGGACTTTGGTACAGTAAATTTTAATTCGAATCGCAGACTTAAATATTTTATTTTGATTTAAGAACAAAACTTAAAATAAAATATTATTCAATTAGTCTTATAAAAGATAGGTATTTATTTCTTAACGTCTCTCGCATTTATTAATATTTTTTAATTGTGGATTTTATGTATTCGTGGAAAAATTGGGTATGCAAAAAATAAGATAGATTTTCTTGTTTTAAACTGATACTACAAACATTTTATTTGGTACAAAAATTTGTATACATATTAATGATGTACTTAAATGTTTAATAATCTTTGTTCCAGAATCACGAGTATGGCGGGTACGGTGACGAGCCGCGACGTAAAAGGTATGTATGCGAATCTATTAATTCCTCATTTATAGTTGTTTATGCAAAAATATAAATGATGATGATAAATTCGTTACTTGGAGTTCCGAGTATTGCCAAATTCAATCGGCATACAATACTAAATTATTCCGAGTTAATATGTATATATGTACTCATTTCTCTTCGTTTTCATTCAACAATTGATCTCATCTCGTGACCTGTTATATAACTCGTACAGTAATTTGTTTCCTTCTATCACGTATTTACTATATTACACTCTAATTGACACGATCAGACCGAGGATTTTTATGAAGAATGAAACGTGTGTGGCATCGGTTTAAAGAATATGTTTAAGATTTTATCTTTGATCAAATTATTTAAACAATGAAATATACATCCTGCTAATGATATTCTGAATAGGTTCGTGCATTACATTTACAATGTCTGTACGTTGAATTATCTTATAAACATATAAATTCCGCAATTTAACACGGTATCACGTAAATGATTTAAACAGGAATGAAACAAAAGCTAGTCCAGTGTTCTCAAGTTTCGTATTCGTCAGAACGAATTATTTTCACGAAAGTTTCAAAATCCACTCTGACTCATTATTCAGAACTTGCACTCGGAGACGTCATGTCTCGTTGAAAAGCGAAATGCGTTTCACGGTTTGTTCCCTCGGCGAAGGATTCATTCGCGAACGAAAGTTAGTTCCATCCATAGTGAAACGGATATTGCCCGATATCGAATTTTCGCTGCTCTGAGTCACACTTAACGCTCAGGTTAACTTCTTATTATTAGACTTGGCCCGAGCCGACTACTTCGGTCTGAAACTTTAGTGACCGTCTGCGACGTTTTAATTAATTTCGACGTATGCGTCGTGGCTTTTCTTCTTCTTATCGCCCTAGCAGCCAATTCCGCGCGCATCGTCCTTTAAACGTTAAACGTTTATCGCGAACGCGAGCAGAAACCAATACGTTGTTTCATTCGTTCGAACACCACAGCATTATATATAAAAAAAGATCCGATAATTTTTCACGCTTTCAATCACGCAAACAAAGATCTCGGTACATTTCCATTGCCATCACAGAGAATTTAAAAATCCCAGCCTGCATTTAAGAATTACTTCAAGCATAGAAACATTCTTCTTCTATTTAAACTTAATTCTTATTGAAAACGATGCATCTAGTGATTAAAATCGGAAATTTGTTTACCTCCTCGAAAGGAGAATTACGTTTCAGGGAACATGAAACGATTGATCACAACGTAGCGAGAATCTATCCCGCCTTCGTACGTTTTCTTCGTTTGCGTTCAAACTGAGTATTTCCGAAGCACGAAGGGTCGAAGTTTAATCATTTAGAGTGGAAGCAACAGATTTGAGACAGGCGGAAAATTGGTCTGACTAGTTTGAATTGCAGAACGAGAAAGCATCAATGCGTCTCTTTTTCTTTTTGCGGAAAAATCGTAGGCAGTTGAATTTCCAATTGGTTGCAAAGCGGAACGGAAAACAGTGGTGGTGAAGAGACAGAGTATAGATTGACGCCAGACATGAAAAATGTATAGCTGGCTATCCATCAATAGGTGCTTTCGTTGTATGTATCGCGGCCACGTTGAATCTCGGAAGGAAACGAGCACGATTTTTCCTTCGTTTTTCTTGCCTCGAGTATAATCGAATATTTCGCGTTGAACCTTCCCGGCCGTACTGGTCGTTCTGATTTAATAAAAAATTTTCACCAACTGTGCACTTTCCTGGTGTAATTTCACTGCAATTCAACGACTGGCTGCTCCCCGGGAAAATGCAGAATTTTTCGCTACCGTGACTCGGTTACGTGCTGCCTTTTATCGAGTTAACCTTTCCAACGATTAAATTCTTACATTTTAACTAATTCGTCATGGTTTAAAGATAAATAGTAAAGTCGGAAAAATTGATTGCATAATTCTGTTTTTTCTTTGTTTCTTTCAGAGAAGACAATAATAAGCCAAATCACGTTCTCCTCTTCACAATTATCAACCCAGTCTACCCCATCACTGTGGTAAGTGCTTCTTTGAAACTTTATACATATATTGAATAAGTCATTAACCCCTTCCGGTGTGATTTAATCATAAACCCAATGACGTACTAGATTCGTCATTTTACCGGAAGGGGATAAAAACAGATATGAAAACATTTTTTATTCACATATGCACAGAATTTATAATTTCCGCACACATCACTGCAGCATAAAATTTGCAATCTTGATAGAATGCAGTTCAAAGGTGTTCCGAGTGCGATTAAATGCGTTGCTTCTCGGCGCTTTAAACTTCTTTAAAGAAGTACGTATGTACTTGCGTTTTCTCTGCGTAATCCAAGCGTATCGATGCTTTATGACTTATCCAGGTGGTTTGCCGTTTAGGCGAGTGTTTGTAAACGCAGTTTCGCATTCCGCGCGCGTGGGTACATACGTGCGTAGAAACGAACGATGAAAAAGTTAGATCCGACAACACTTGACACAATCGTTGCTGAACGATTGTTGTGAATGCCTCGCAATTGGCGTCGGAGATCGATACTGAAAAGATGATGTAGCGCGCGGAATGTACTGTGAACCTCTAAATCGAAGTGGAAGGCGGGGAATCGAGAGATGTATTGAAAACGAAAGGCAGGACAAAAGTTGTTGGCACAACGTGGCCACCATACGTGCCGCAGGCCGTCGCACTGCATTTTATTTCTGTTTTGCGCCAATAATAGATGAGCTCTGTCGCTGTTTCTGTCTCTCGAACGGTCGATGCCTACCGCGATCTGGCATTGTTCGCACTCCATCCGTTCGCATAGCTCTCCGGTCACAATGCTTACTTTGTTTTTTTCCTTCTCCTTTTCGTCGTTTTGTCGTTATCTCCACGACAGATGCACTAATTAAAGAGAGGCCCCTTAAACACCGGAGGCTTTCTCGAGGGCGCACGGCCACTCGCAAACCGTCCTTCTGTCGTTCCTTTTTTCGTCCTATAAGTACGTCGTTTCGCGAGTATGCGCCACAGTTTATCGTCCCTCTGTCTCGCTCAGACCTCCTAATAGAACCGGCATTGGTATCGCTTTAATTATCCTCACTAATTTCCGAGTTCGTAGACCAATTGAAATTTTCATCTCGCCACGATTTAGGACTCGGCTGACGTCGATTTATAGGCGCTTTATACTCACTGGAGGAATGTTACACAGAACAATTTTCCACTCCGACTGAAATAATCCTATAACACAGTCGAGCGTGTATCCAATTACATTTTGAAAAATATTCAGGCTGGCTAATACGATTTCCGGATTATGCTATGTAAAATGTGAGTAACCGTTTCGGAATAAGTTTGTCTCTTTTGATAATACTATATAATCCTCGCAAGTGTCTTGAATTCTTAATACTAATTAGTCGTTTACGTTGATAACAACGCTGAAATAGACAATTCATTTTGCAAACGAATTACGTAAACCAATTATCGTTTAACACGTGTCGTCTGCTGTTCCGTTAAAAACTTCAATTATTCTTTTATAATCTTAAACAATAGAAAATAATTTCGTGGCGAGACGAGAAGTTTTGTTAATTTCCTTATAAATTGCACTGACCTCCTTTTCCTCGGTGCTTTTTATAACTTGCTTGGCTGTGGATGGAAATTAGAAAGGATTTCATTTTTCATATCCTGAAAAGTAGGCGGTTATTGTTGAGATTCTCAGGAAGCAAAGCATCGTTTATTAAAGCTTTCCGGGAGGAAACGCTTCGTTCGATCGTGTCAGCAATATGGAAAAGCAACATCATTAAGACAGTTTCAAAGACGGGAATATCAATGGCACCCACGATAACCTATCAATATTTTCTCACGGAATGGGCTAATGTCGCGCGAATCCGATTTCTTGCATCGAGTTCCGAGCCAAGCTATGCAAATTGTTTCCAATAATTTTGAAAGCTTTACTTATGACCGCGTGTTGCGGAGCTGATAAACTTCGCGGTGTATCAAGCTCGCTTAAATTGTCTTTTAGACACCTTGGCGTATCTGTTTAATTTCGTTGCCAGTCACATTCGATAGAGTGACTCCTACATATTAGACAAAAGAACATGTACAGAAACCAGTGAGTGAGCACTCGCAGCGAGAAATCGTTTTTCATTCATCACAATAACGGAGTGAATTTATTGAATCGTCGTTCAGCGTACAGTACTGTTCAAAAGTATGGATACCTATTATGTTTTACGAATTGCTGCATGCCAGGAATTATTATTTTTAAATAGTCTTTACTGTTAAATTCCATTAATATCAGAATTCTTATGCAGAATGAAATATCGTAGACAGTTAAATTAGGATTTATTATTTACTCACTGCAATGTGTATTTACTTATGATATTTTATATCGTGTTATCATGTCATGTACCATTTATATTGAATTGTTTTATAAATGTATGGTAACCGCAGTCTAGCTATTATATATTTAATGTTAGAATATATTCATAATTAGTTCCACAGTCTCAGAGTTATCTCTCAATTAATTATGTATACATATTTTTATGTATGCGCATTTGTCCATGAATTTCTCAAACATGTATATTTGCATACGTGTCGAACTAAGAACCTCTTTCTTCGAGGTCAGTTAACTCTTTCAGTTAAAGGGTTAATAATAATATAATGATCAAATATATTTTCTAAGAGTGCATAAAATAGAATTCGTGTAAACTCGTGTGAAATTCGTGAATAGTTCCATTGAGGAAGTGTCGAAATAATTTGGAACGGTAGTGTACGCCTTTAAGTCTGATGCACGCCTGCCTGGTCTACGCAAACACTGTTCGCGTTCCCCGATTTTACGCGTTCGGAGTTTCTCCATTTACTCGGGTTCCCGTATTTTCGGCACAATTAGAACGAATAAGCCGATACATCATCGTATTTACCTCGGAATTCGGCTAAACGTTCGGTATTTGGCGAAGCTTAAGCCGGTTACGCGCTCAACCGAACGGACTGACTGACGCGCGCGCGCGATTAATCAACTGTGCGAGTGTTCTCTGGTCCCCGGAAAGCGTAGCTTCCGTTTAGAGTGCGAGCTGACAAATTTTGAAAACACGTACGGAACCGAGATGTCAGGCTTTCGGTGTGATTAAAAAAAACTGGCGACATCAATCACAGTAAGTACGTGAGATACAAATTGAATACGAATCGACGAACTCTTACACGTGTTGATACCTGAGTTCCATTTGACTTCTGAATAGATACATTTTATGCGAAGACATGTGAAAAATATTTCAGATTCTGATTCAACGTGTCTAGAAATAATAATTCTAAGTATAATATATATCAACAATTGTACACGTGTCTATTCAACGTGTTTTATGTTGTAACATATTATCTCGTTTCTAACGAAAGTCGAAATTCTGTGTTGCTACTTATTTATTACGTCGCATTACATGGAACGACGGTGAATCATCCTGTTCTGAAAATTTTGTGAACATCGTCGTACGCGAAATAACGAAGCGAAATTCATTAAATCTCGTAAACAAGATTAAATAGGATATGTCCTTACAAGTGTTTTATACGTTGCCCTTAACTGCTAAATCGGTATTTGAAATATCCCCTACGGGACACTTGATGCACGCTCGCATTCTTACGTTACGTTAGGTAGACGGAGAAGCCGGCCACTGTACATAGCCATGAATTTTCTTGCGCTTTAATTCCTGCGATAACTCATCCACCGGCCCCCAGTTACAGTCACCGGATTAAGATTAACACCTTCGCAGTCTCGTACGAAATGGTTTAACGGTGCCTAGCTACTATCTCGCGTATCCCCTATCTCACTCTTTCCATCGGTGACGTGCTTTTATTTCAAATACTGAACTATATTACTTCGGACCGAGATAGATGGTTATTTTAGTATGGCTGCTCTTCGTCGGATTTATACCACCAGTGTGTTTGCTGTTCGCGCGTCACCGATACCACCGTCCGGATACTTCCAATGAAAATATTTTAATTGGCGGCCGAATTCGCTTGGCTAAATACGAATTCGTTGACTGAAACTCAACGCCGATCCATATCGACTTCGCAACCTCCTTGTTCATTCGGTCATTGCACTTAATATGTACACGTGCAAGCGATATACACACGATAATGGGAATCAGCAATCGTCACCTTATTTGTTACGAATGTACATACGTCGTCAAACTGTTCATAATTGTACGTTTTCCCAAGCGTTAAATCGAGTTATGAGGAGTGTTATCTAGATCATTAAACTAGTTAGCCACAATGTTCAACTTTCCTTGTCATAACGTGCAAGGCGAAATGCAGTTTCTAAGTAACTTCGTTATATGTATGTACATGAAGTGCTTTCCAAATATACATACAGTTGAAAATTATACCTTGCGTGGTCATCGACGTACTTGAGTTGTTTTTTAAGAACAGAGACTGCTTTAAAGGTATGTGTAACTTCTATTTTCTGTTATTATTTGTTTTTCATTTATTACTTTCTACTTAATTGTATAATAAATGAACGTTTCATCTTATAAAGATTTTTGTATCACTTCTGTTTTATTGTATTATTTTGGAAATACTCTGTATAGTATACGAGGCATTCTAAATCGTGCTAGACTGACGCGAAAACCAGAATTAATTATATCGCCATACGCGGTAGCTAGATGTTGCATGCGGTTTTCGTACACAGCCTTTAATAAGCGGGATAACATGACGTGTGCAATGCCCACGACCTACTTCTCGTTTCGCCCCGGAGAAAGGTTGCCCCGCGGATTGCCATTTCTTATGCATTCGCCGCCAATTCTCTAACTAACGCGGACTCCGAAACTCGTTCGAGGACAAATCCGAGAGTCGAGAGTCTAAATGTAGCAGCTACATCGTTTCCTGTTTTCTTCATTCCTCGAAAAGCTTGAATCGAAACTACTGAAACTCCTTCTTGTCCCCCGTTGAGCTTTCTAGGTGCGGTTGGAGAATCGCGACGAACGTCGAATTTGTATTAAGTATCTTTAATCTAGCTTTAACTATGTACTTTAGCCTAGAACGCGTGGCAAACTAATTGCAAGTTATGAAG